ATTCCATTAAATTAATATTTTTCCACATATTAAATTGTAATTAAAGTTCAGAGGAGTTCAAAGTAACCAAGTAAATATCAAGGCAGCTGCTTTAATTTGCAGAGCTGGGGTTTCCTTGCCATTCTAATCTAAATTCAGTTCCGCCCTATTTTCTAGCCGGTTTTAAAAAATGTTCTTTCAGAATCTCCTGATACAACATATTCCATTGTAGCTAAAGTCAACTTGGCTATTTTCCAGTCTAAGTAAAATTAAGTTAGATGCAATGATATAACAAACATATTGTTAACAAGGCACTGGTGACTCTACTTTTTAAGGAAACAGCCAAGTTAGCTGTTCAATTAGACAAGGAGACTAAGCAAAAAAGGGATTTAAAAAATGTTAGAACAGAAACAAGCAGGCCCAGAATGTTCCAAACATCAAACTATACTGGAATGGGTAAAATATGTAAAGCATATCAAATTTTTCTGATTGGGAAGCCCAATATTAAAAATAAATCCAAATACTTCAAAAATTCAGGTGGACTTATCACAATATAATCATTATTAAATTGGAGCTTAAGATCAAAGGTCTGACTTGATAGAACAAAGGAGAATGAAACATTAGCTCTGTTTTTAAAATAAGCCACATTTCCTAAGGCTAAAGACCTCTGCGACAAAGGTCAAAGTTAAAAAACCCAGGACAAGGAATGCATGTCATGAGCTCCTAAAGAGAATTTCAAATGGTCAGAGAGGTACTATTGTTACCTTTGGCAGGGGTAGGGGGAATGGGTTAATATTTGCTTCCTTTTAATATGGTATTTTTCTTGCAGAGAGAAGATATAGTGCATGGAACACAGCAACCAAAACAATACTTTTGAAAATTGGATAATGGAGAGAGAAATAAATCAAAACAAAGGAATTCCATATATGCTGGGAGAATATAGAAGGGTAGACGTCCAATTTGCCTGAAGCTAATGAGTATTCTAGCCTAAAATATGAAAATGAATTGCTAGTTCCTTATTCAAAAGGCAGAGAAAACTTGTTGACAAATGCTTTTGTCCAAACTGCAAATTTAGTTAAATTCACTCAAATTTATAAGAATCTTAGTTGGCATTTTAACAACAAAAAGTTATTTCAATGCACTTAAGGACCAGGAAGATTAGATATGTTACAAGATTTTATCCTAAGTCCAACCAAAAAATAAAGTTAGTTAGAGCAATTGAGCAAAGGAAATGGCAATAAACCTATGTAAGATGTAGACATGATCAGGGATCCTGCTCCCCAGGTGGCTAAATGCAAGTGTCTTTATCTGAGCTTCTGCTGTAGGGACAAACTAGGAATTCTGCTGGTGTATTGCCACGAACTGCTAAACAGCATCTTTTTCTGAGATCCTAGTTACCATCATGGTGTTAGTATCTGGATTCTTCCTTATTGTTATCTTAGGAGACTTTGATGTCCATATCCTGGGAGGCGGGTCAGAGATAGCCTAGGAATTCATGGTATGCATGAAAACTATGATCTGACCATGGCAAAAGATGATGACAAGTCCTCCAGGTTCAGATCACATTCCAACTGTTCTGAGATGATAATTAGATCTAGTGTATGTTGGCCTATTTATCTTGAGGTCACAAGGTTAGGGGGTTGAATAAGATGGTCCATCCCAGACACTTCATGGATCTGCTGTTTCCAGGAGAGGGGTACTTGGTGATTTTCCTAATGATATGGCTGGCAGCTGTGCCATGAGTCTTGTTGACTTCTGGAATAAGAAGGCAAAAAAACCATTAAAAAGGAATGCCCTCAAGCAGCCTCATCATGACAGCGGATCCTGGACGACTAAGGTTTACCAAGCAGCTCCAGGAGCAGGAAAAAAAAGGGTTGAAGCACCAGTAGCAGAAGACAAACAATACGGCCAGCCCCACCTATGAGCTCAGGTTTGGACCACCATTCTGATGATAAGCACAGCAAAAAGTATTTCTCTGCCCATATTGCATTGGCAGAACATCATCCAGCAATGCTGTTTTACTTAAGCTGCAAATTATTGGGGATGGCTGTTATTAGTCTGCTGTGACTGATTTGCTAGACATCTTGTGGATAAAATAGGTCATATTTGGAGATACCAGTTACCCTGATTAGACAAAACAAGGGAACTGGGATTACTTGTGAGATGACCTGGGATTCTTTGACCTTGTACACTCAGAAGTAGAATGGATTCTTTGCATTATGAGTTATCCACCTGTAGGCTGGATCCTTGATTCCCTTGGCTTCTTGGGCAGCCAAAGATGAGGGGATGATTAGGTTCAGGAGGTCATTAATGCCTAAAGAAGAAATTACCATCGGCCTTAAAGGAGGTAATATGCACCTGACTGAAGATGCCATCTTAAAATCCAAATTATTAGACATCTTCCACTTTTTTTTAGAAAGATTTGAAAGAATGTGATGGAACTGCAGCTACCAAGGATTCTGGATAAAGTGGATCACCTGGATTCTTATTAATCAGATTTTAGACCAAGACCTTGGAGTGAAACTATATTAATTGCTCTTGTGGATAACTTTAATTAGGACCTGGGTAGAGGGAGCACAGGTCTCTTGGCCTCATTAGCTCTCTCAGTAGCATTTAATACAATTTATTCTGATATCCTTCTGGATTGCCTACAACAATTGGGAATTGGGATAATTCTATTGCAATGGTTCCACTCTTTCCTGAGTGGTCAGTTCCAGTCAAGAGATGCAGAGGAGCATTTGAGCTTGTGACTACTCTGACATGGGATACCTCAGGGCTAGTTCTCTCCCCCATGTTAACATTTATAGGAAACCAATGTATTGGGTGAGATCATCTGTTGGCTTGGGGTGAGTTATCATCAATATATAGATGATATCCAGATGTATTTCTCCCCACAGAACCAAGCAGGAGATGCAGTAGAGATCCTTGCCAAATGCCTGGAGGCAGTAAGGGACTAGATGGGATGGAACAAGTTGAAACTGAATCATAGCAAAATGCTTTTTCTTTTCTCTTTCCCTTTTATTATATTGTTAGAAATCTTATTATATTGTTTCAATACAATGATATTTATAATTTTAAAGTTCTTGAGATTCTATTGCATTTAACATTCACAAGCCATGAACAGCTGCAGCTCCATTTGGAGGACTTAACGATGGTAACTCTATTACTTCAGGATTGGATTACTGTAATGCACTCCACTAGGGCTGTCCTTGACTCAAACTGCAGTGGGTACAGAATGTGGATTCCCACCTGTTCAGAGATAAGAGTCAATTCAACAATATAATACATAGACTACACGTACTGCAGATAAAACCTTAGAGCTTGGGGTTAGGGTGTTTTGGGGACCATCTCCTAAAAGTACAGTCTGCCTATCCTATCCACGCCACAGGTAAATGTTGCTACGGATCCCCTTGACCCAAAGGATATGTGGGGTGGAAGGCCCAAATCAGACCTCCTTACTGGCAGCTTAGCTTTCTGGAATACACTGAAGACAGATTCACTACTATGCCTTTTCCTATTTCCAAGAAAGCAGTAAAGATGCAGCTCTTCCAGCAAGCTTTAGACCCGACTGATCACTGGGGATGCAGGATTGTTTCAACTTCCTACTTTAATTTTTTCAGATCTTGTTCCTGCTTGTTATGTTTTAATATGGGGAGTTTAATAGAGTTCTTCGATTGACTGTGCAATGCCTATAGTGTGGCAAGCAGACAGTATGTAAGTGCTGGAGAGTAAATAAGTGGCATTATGTGTTCTGCAAATCCTTAATATGTCCAATACCAGAAGAATGTGCAAAAATGTAGCAGTCTAACCGAAGTACTCCTGTACTCCTCTGGCTTCCCATTTTCTTTTGCAGCTGATATTCAATATTCAAAGGTACCCATCAAGCTTTCAGTGTTACATTTCAGGCCAGCACCACAGCTTATTTGGCAGCAGGCTCTCATATACAACTTAGCTTGGGCAGACATTTTACTGCAGGCAAGAAGGAAGCCAATTACAACAGCAGATATGCCTAGTACGATTTACAGCAATCAGAACCTCCCTCCACCTACCTACCTACCC